CAGGAGGCAGAAGGAGCAAGAGGAACGCATAGACAGAAGTCTTTACTGTGGTTTCTTTGGAGAAGACAAGACAAGGCAGCATAAGCAGGATTAGCATTGGCTGGTTTGAATAATTTCAGTGGGCTCTTGGGGTTGGAGGCTATCTCTAGCTTTCTGGTACTTGGCCCTGGGATGATTAGGGCAGAGAAATATTGCCTCCTGGAGTTTAATAAAAGCCTGATAGTGGAGATGATCTGGAGTATACGCTCTGGATTCGTTGGTTTACCTATGAAAGTCAGGCTCACAGGGGAGCAGTTTACTAACTCTAGAAATTAGCTTAGCCCTGGGAGTCTCTCTTGGGTCAGCCAGGCCCCAGACAACAGAGCATCCAGAATACAGAAAATAAGAAAATATAGTTAATACATATAGATTATGAAGTTGCCCATAATTTTGCCACCAAATGAGGTAGAAAATGATAAAGTGCGGCTTCTGTGTTCTAGGGACTCAAATAGAGTGAAGCTTGACTCTAAAGAAAATTCACTCCCCAACACCAGAAGCCCGATGAAGGCGGAGAAAAGACATCCTGCAACCTGCTCCTGCTTCCACATGGAGGCCCCTTCCATTCCTAAAAAAGTCTTAAAAGTTCAAAGAAGACAAATAAAAATGCAGGCTTTTGCTTCCCGGGTGTCTGTACATATCTTGTCTTTGTATCAGAGCACTCTCCTGTGCTCTGCTTTAACAGACAACAGCTGTATGAGGAAGACAGTGTCAATAGAATACAAATTAAACTGGATCTCTATGGCCTAGGTTTTGTACATACAGAAACTGCATGGTATTTAAATTATTGTTTGTCTCTAATGATGTATGCAGTTTCTTTAAAAACAAACCTCAAAAAAAGTCTTAAAAAAATTTTTTAAAAATGCAGGATTACCACAAAACATTACCTACTTAGCTGTGTTACTGAATATGAAATCATCCTTAAATAGACTCTCAAAAGGATTTCTACCTCCACCATTGAATTCTTCCTGCAATATTTATCACAGATGTCCTATATTTTTGAAATCACACAGTATTTTAAAATATTTTGGATGTTTATTTTAATCTTTTATTTCCAGAATTTTTATCAGAATACAAATCAAACACTGATTTACAACTAATTTAACATCCTTGAACACAGATGTCTCTGCATGCTTTCAGGTTGTTGGAATCAGTTAGCTGGGGGAGCAGAAAGCAGGGACGGCCTCTTTGTCCTGGGGTCCCTCTGGCTACAGTTGTGGTGGAGAAAGAGGCAAAGATCTCCCACAATTTCCTGTTTCTTCATTTCTCTCAAGCCAGATCATGTTCTTAGAAAGTCAATTGAACAGAACACTTTGTAATAATCTCTAGAAACATATAAAAACAAAGAAAATTATGACTTTTACTTTTTAAACAACTTCTATGAACCAATAGAATGTATTAATTCAGAATATCAGGGTTAAAAACCACAGCTCCATCACTTGGTATCCTGTAACTCAGAGCAAAAAACTTAATCTCTATAAATACACAGAGAATAAGGGTACAGTAAAAGCAGTTTTAAAATATCTTAGGAGAAAAATAAGGTAAAATGTGTAAATGGCTCTGGAGATGTAAAAGGAATATCTTTCTTGATTTCCTTTTTATCATCTCCTGGGGGTATTCAGGAAGTTCAAAAATGTGTAGCTGAGTAACTCTGGAAAATAATGGAGTAGACTGTGTTGCAATAGAAATGCAGTGATTCACTCTCTCCCAGAAATTGGAAACAGATACAGATTATGTCCCAGACTTCTCTCTGGTGCCAAGCCTGCTTTTGGATTACAGAAAAAGAGGAATTCAACTTCTGAGTGTAAGAATAATAAAAACAATGGGATCAGTAGTGTTTGCTTTTTTTTTTTGCCACACCATGCCGGCATGCAGGTTCCCTGACCAGGGATCAAACCTGTGCCCCCTACAATGGGAGGGTGAAGTCTTCACCACTGTAGTTCCAGGGAAGTCCCTAGGATCAGTTGTTGAAAAAGGAAATACCTCAAAGTTTGGAGTCAAAGAGTACTATTTTGCGTGAAAATAAAGATGTATTTTTTATACCTCATATAGTTATCTATGTATCAAATTTTTTAAACAATATCTTCTGCTATACGAAAGATTATCTTCAAGAAACATGAAGCATGTAATGTACACAGAAATACATTGGGTTTCTATAGGCAAACTGAACTCTTTTGGAGACAAGTGTAAGAATAATGGATGGTCAGACAAAGGGGAGGGCTCTGTGAGCCATACAGACTATGTCACTCACCTTCCCCAACTACTCTTTCTTTCAAATGTATTTTGGAAACTTATACATATATTACTAATTCAAATTACACAGATCCACATATGTCATATGTTCTGACCATTAGATTCGATTTGGTTATTTATTTATTTATCTATTTTGGCTGCACCAGGTCTTAGTTGCGTCATGCGGACTCTTAGTTGTGGCATGCATGTGGGATCTAGTTCCCCGACCAGGGATCTAACCCTGGCCCCCTGCATTGGGAGCGCAGAGACTTACCCACTGGACTATCAGGGAAGTCCCAGATTCGATTTGTTTTTAATCCCAGCGGTCTGAAACAATGAAAAGGCCAGTGGTTGCAGTTGAAACCCACCAGTGGGTGAAGCTTCATTGCAGAAACCACTTGCCAGTTAATAATGTTGTTGGGTATCTCATCGTAGGCAAGGAATCAGTTGAATGACTGTAGTTTACCATACAACAATTTTGGCCAAAGATTTTGTAGTTTACTCTAGCTAAAAACGCAGGCATGGGGGGAGGGGTTGATAAAAGAGGAAGAGGAGCTAAGAGAGAAACAGATTTCTTTTTCTTGTCAAAAGTTTTATTTCTTTTCACTATTTTTTTTCAAAAGTTTTATTTTAAAGAAAGACTGTTTCTTACTCTCCCTGAATGGCAACATCTCCAAGTTCTTCTCAATCAATATGCAATCCTGTTAACCTGAAATATCTGAATTCTTGGCATTTTCTGTGTTAACCTTAAAAATAAGCCAGTTATTTTACAAGCAAAATGAGTTTATTCAGGACTAGCAGAGCAACTGCAGTAAGGGACATGAAAACAAGATGAACCATAGGTTAAGTTGGAGGACAAAGGAGAGGGACTTGCTTTTATAGAGAAAAGGGGGGAGGTTAAGAGGGACTGTTTTGAGTAGAAATCCATTGGAAGAGGGCAGGAGTTCAAACTTCTCATTGGCTGGATGTGGCAGCTTCTCATTGGCAGGCTACTGCTGGGTAAAGATAAAATCTTCCTTCTGCTGGAGTATTTCAGTAAGCCTCTTCCTTTTGGACATGCATGGTACCTCTCTCTTTCTGCTTGGGATCTGCAGACCAAGGAGTGATCATGCATGAGAGCTCCTCCAGTCCTTCCAGATTTCATTTTATTTTATTTTTAACTTTTTAATTTAATTTTGTCATTTTTTCTTCCAATTTTATTGAGATATCATTGACATATAACACTGTATTAGGTATACAGCATACTGATTTGACTTACGTACATCATGAAGTGATTATCACAATAAGTTTAAAGAATATCCATCATCTCATATGTATACAAAATGAAAGAAATAGAAAAAATTTTTTTTTCTTGTAATGAGAACTCCTAGGATTTACTCTCTTAATAACTTTCATATATAACATACAGCAGTGTTGCCTATATTTATCATGTTTTACATTACATCCCTAGTACTTATTTATCTTATAACTTATTTATCTTATAACTGGATGTTGTACCTTTTAACTGCCTACATCCTATTCTCCCTCCCCCATCTCCCAGACTTTTTCTTTTTTAAAAAAATTAATTTATTTTATTTATGCTGCGATGGGTCTTCGTTGCTGTGCGCATGCTTTCTCTAGTTGCAGCGAACGGGGGTTACTCTTCGGAGCGCGGGCTCTAGGCACGCGGGCTTCAGTAGTTGTGGCACGTGGGCTTCAGTAGTTGTGGCTCACAGGCTCTCTAGAGCGCAGGCTCAATAGTTGTGGTGCAGGGGCTTAGTTGTTCTGCGGCATGTGGGATCTTCCCGGACCGGGGCACGAACACATGTCCCCTGCATTGGCAGGCGGATTCTTAACCACTGCGCCACCAGGGAAGCTCCAGATTTTATTTTAAATGGGTTTCTTTCATTTCATTTCACATTTGCTTTAGAGGGTTTCATCAAAAAAAAATTTTTTTTAATCTTAAAGAGGGAAGAAAATCTATCATCCTCAATTTATAGATTAATAAGCTCACTAGAAAAGTCCTGAGAGCCCAGGTGGCCTGGCTTCCAGTGGAGTGTTGTTCCCTCGCGTCTCCAGCGATCCGCTGTGTTGAACTTAATGCGGGGTTGATCCTCAACCTTGTCACAGTAAATCACTGGGGAACTTTAAAAACTACCAGTGCCCAAGAAGCTGCGCAAAGTAAATCAGAAACTCAGGTGTCCCAGAAGATGCCAGAATCAGTAATTTTTAAAAGTGCTCAGGCAATTACCAAGTGCAACAAAGGTGAGAAGTACCGATTTAATAAATCTGCCCCTCTAAACGTGATATACCTTATTTTCATGTACAGTGTTCTGATACATTACCACTATTTTCACTTTGTAGATATACGTAAATATATACACACAGAGACATACCTATGTACACATACAGTATATACTAATTCAAAAGTAATGGCAATGAAAATGTTCACACTCTTTTAGGTGAGGAAACTCTCTCCAAGTGAGAGTGCCGGTCTAATGACGGAATCAGACCTTCTGTCGACTTGATTCCGCCCCGGAACGTTGCTCCGCGGCCGGGAGGCTTAGACCTCCGCAGCTCTCGGAGCCTTCCGGGTCCCGCCCCACCGTCTCCCCGCCCCCGCCCCGCCCCTCCAATCCCCTCCCCTCCTAAAGGCTCCGCCCCTCGGGCCAGCTCGGCCCTCGCCTCCCAGCCGCCTCCCAGCCGCCCCCCCACCGCCCCCAACGCCAGCCGCCCGCCGCCGGCCTGTCCAAGATGGAGGGCGCTCCGTGGGCGCCGCTCGCCCTCCGGCTGCTCATCGTCGCGGCCCTGCCAGTCACCGGCTGGCTGACGACGGGCACCTTTGAGCCGCCGCTGTTGCCCCGAGCCCCGAAGGTAGGGCACGGCGGACGCGGCTCTGCCGGGATCCTCGGGAGAAGCCGGGACCGGGGACGTGGGACTGCGGCGTCCCCATCGACGCCTCCCACCTCCGGCGGGCAGGCCGTGGTCTGGGGGCCGGGCCCCCAAAGCGGGAGTGGGGAGAAGCAGCCAAGGAAATGGAGGCGGCAGGGGATGGGGGAGGCGAGAGCGCAAAAGAGGCTGTTCAGTTTGAGGTTCAGCGCGGCGCAGCGAAACCGATTGTTGCGGCAGTCCAGGCAGTTGCAGTCCTGATGGGGGTGTGCCGTCGAAAGTAGCGGATCACTAGTGATCTCAGCCTTTTGTAATGGCGCCTAAAGAGCCGGGCTCTGGGGCGAGGCAGTGTTGAAGTGCTGGGGAAACGTGGAAGTTGCTCAGTTGAGAGCGAGCGCGAGCGTTTCCGGGCCACCTGTCTGCCCCGGCCGGCGGCGGGAAGGAATGCCTTCCCCCGGCGTGCAGGGCTCCGGGTGCACGCCAGCCGGGTCGCTGGGCCGGAGAGGGAGGGAGGCTGCAGGCCAACGCTGACCCCGACGTCGTCCCTTTGGCGGGAGTTGTCAGAGGAGTGGAGCTTCGAGCGCGGTGGAACCAGCCGCACCAGCACCCCCTGGGAACCTGGCCGAAACGCTCTAATCAGAAGCTTTAGGGTAGGGACCCAGCAGTCTGTTGCAGCAAGCCCTCCAGGTGATCCCAAGGTCGGCTAAAGTTTAGGGACCACTGCATGCTTGTCCTTAAGGGTGGCTGGTTCTTATTGCTTTGGCCGGGTGGAATTAACCAGTATTTGCCTTTCGTTAATTCAATGCGTGGTAGGGAAGCGTCTGAAGACTTTAAAATGCGATTTTCCCAGAATGAAAAGAAACGACATAGGTGCGCCTTTTCTTACTATATCAAGACTTGAATGCTCAAAATTCAGGAGTGAGAGTTATGACGTTACCCTTCCTGGGTAGAATAATAGCATATCTTAGTTTCAGTTCTCTTGGGACATTCCAAGAATCCACAGCATCCCAAGCTCTAAGAATCACTTATATCTGAAGTATGTGGACCACAGTTGCAGCTGTTCAAAAATATGGATGTGAGATCGAGACCAAATAAAAATGAAATAATTCTTAGTGTTCTGGAAATATAGACATTGTTTTTCCCTTTTCCAGATTTTAAAGATTCATCATAGTTATTTATGAACCCAAAAGACATTTGAGTCTGTTCCTATAATATGAAAAAAAATGCATTTAGACTGCAAGCTGAAAATACACCACACTGTGGGGCTCTTAGTGAGTTCATCATTTCAGTTCTCCTTATGACTTCTTTCTACTTTTGGAAGGTCCAGATCTACACTCAGAATTTCATAGGTTAAATGAATGGTGTGCAGCTAGAAGGAGAATCTCATTCCTTGGAAAGGTGTATATGGGAAACTGAGGCCTCTTGATCTAAAAATTTTTCAAAGTTTTATTGTGAAAAATTTCAAATGTACAGAACATTTGAAAGAATTTTACAGTGGTCATGCATATTTGATAGGAGCTGTCCAGTTGACCTTTGTGCAGTGATGGTGTATGTCTGCTCTTTCCATTACAGTAGCCACTAGACTACTGTGGTTACTGAGTATTTGAAATGTGGCCAGTGTGATTGAGGAACTGAGTTTTTAAAATGTTATTTAGTTTTAATTAACTTAAATGTAAATAGCCACATGTGGTTAGTGGATACCGTATTGAATAATGCCAACTTAGACTACCATTTATGTTTTACTATACTTGCTTTATCACACATCTGTTCATTTGTTCATCTTTGTATCCAGCCTGACCTAACTGTAAGAAAACTGGTTGAAGTCAGAAAAATTCTCCTTGTATCTCTTCAGTGACTCATATTTATTGTGTTATAAGCATTTTTCTGTTTTTTTTTTTTGTAAATAAATTTATTTATTTATTTTTGGCTGCATTGGGTCTTCGTTGCTGAGCGCAGGCTTTCTCTTGTTGCGGTGAGCGGGGACTACTCTTCGTTGCAGTGCACGGGCTTCGCATTGCAGTGGCTTCTCTTGTTGCGGAGCACGGGCTCTAGGCATGCAGGCTTCAGTAGCTGTGGCACGCAGGGTCAGTAGTTGTGGCTCTCAGGCTGTAGAGCGCAGGCTCAGTAGTTGTGGTGCACGGGCTTAGTTGCTCCGCAGCATGTGGGATCTTCCCAGACCAGGGCTCGAACCCATGTCCCCTGCATTGGCAGGCGGATTCTTAACCACTGCGACGCCAGGGAGGTCCCGCATTTTATGTTTTGTTTACATATGTAGTTGTCAGAAGTTGAGGTTACACAGATGGTAAAATTTTAAAAAATTGGGAAAAAAATTGTTACAAAGATTTTGAAATAAAAAAAAATTTTACCGTACATTCTTCTAACATTAAAATGACTTGGTCACCAAAGAGAGGGAGGCATCCAGAGGACACTTATTTTCTTGTATGTGTAAGTATTTCATGTGTTTCCCTCAGACTTATTTTAAACCAGGTATCTATTACCTCTGTCCTTAGGAAGCCATTTTGTTCCAGATGGGCATTTGTGAGTGAAGGAATTAGAGGAGAATTGAAAATGAGTGGGGGGAAACTTCGGTTCTGCCACTCGCTTTCTAAGCATACACTGCCCTGGCTGACAAGCCTGAACTTCCAGTTCAGTCAGAGGCTCTCAGGAAGAACAAGAAATATGCTGGCTCTGAACTTTGGGTCAGGAGGCGGTAAGGGATGAGAGTTTCCCCTGATGTGAAATCATTCAAGAGGATCAAAAGGAATTTAATTGAAGTTAGTTTTCTGGAAAATATAGTGTGCTATACAGTCTGTTAATTGTCTTTTACAAACCGCATATTTCTACTGGGCAAATGATGTATGTAAGTGCAATAAATTACTCACAATGTAGTGTATGTTTTCTACTTGAGAGGCAGAAGCTATAAAAAGGTTTCTCAGAACACCATGAGTGGACGGTTATCTCTGGGCTGTTAGAAGAACACTAGTCTACAGTTTTCAAACAGATCCTCTAGTTTGAAAAGAGGAATGAATTCTTGGCTGGAATTTGGGCATAAAACAATACAGCCGCCAACTGGATGCTTTATTGAATGTTAGTTTGTTCTAGAGATGAGTTTATTTGTTCTAGCCCACACTTAATTCTAGATAAGGGTGGGCCAGGAGAAAGCCAGGCTGGATCTGAGGAATCACTAGTCCTAAAGCTTCCTGGGCTCCTATGGGAGTTGGGAAGTGCACCAAAGTCATCCTGAATAAATGGTATGAATTTACATGTTAGAATCCTTTTCCTCAGGTTGTCCCAGGAATCAAGCCAATCTCATAAAAATCACTCAGTCTTAGTCTCTCATTTGTTAGAAATATATAAAGTATTGGAGTTGCGCACAGTGCCAAGAAATACACTTGTGTATTGGTTTGATGTTTAGAATAACTTTTGTCTTTTCAAAATTAAGAATACCCTCACAAAAAATGTATTTAAGAGGAGTCTTGTTTTCATTCTACGATAACAATGTCTGTCTGTGAATACATTTAGGGAAGAATTTGATTTACAGATAACAAATTATAGTTCCTGTGACCCTGATTACTTAGAATAATGCTTTCTTGTCTGTAGTAAGCATGTCATGAGTAAACTTAAATATTTGAGCAGAGTGCTTTTGAGCATACCTTGAGAGGAACTGAAACTGTGCACTGAAAGACCTTGTCCATGGGCACTAGGGGACACATGTAAGAAGGGTTAGAGAAACTTTGTATATGAAAACAATAGAGTTGGAAACATTTCAAATGTCCACTGATAGGGAACAGTTAATTAAATCGGTAAGAATTTGATGGCATATTACACAATGCTGTAAATAAATGTCTACAGCTGCATACATAACAATTTTAAATGAAAGAAGTTCCAGAAGAATACATTATAATATTATTCTACTCATATAAAGTTCAGGAACAGATAAAACTAAACAAAATGTTGTTTAGAGAGAGATAATACAGATAGTTAAACTATAAAGAAAAGCAAGAAATGTTAACATAGAAGACAATATAGGGATTCCTTCTGAGGGGCATGAGGGGAATGTGACAGAAAAGGTCATGCAGGGGACTTCTAAGGTGTGGATGACATTCTAGTTTTTAACCTAGGTAGTAAGTATGTGAGTGTTAATCTTTTCTTTTAAACTCTATATTTGCATTTCATATGCTCAGATATGTGATATATTTCATAATTAAGTGGAAAAGTATATAGTTTATAAAAAATTGGAATTGTGAAGGGTATTTAAAAGGCTGTAAGGATGAAATTGATGAGTTTTTAAAAGTGGTCTTTTAATGTTGCCATAAGTGATCATACAATAAGTATAACTGAGGGGAGAAGAAAAAGAACTGAGTTATTCTCAGTTTGTGAAACGCATACCTGCCCAATTTGTATATTTGTTTTGCAGGACAGCATCAGAATTAATGTAACTACCCTGAAAGATGATGGGGAGGTATCTAAAGAACAGGTTTGTCTCTTTGGTTATGTTTTTATTATATCACTTAGCTAAGTATCATGCAGCCTATTTTATTTTTTTATCTATATATCCAATTTAGTTAGATAATGTATTTTTGACATGAAGAGTTTGTCATCATTTGTAAACCATTGGAATTAATGTATATGCTGCTTTATTTTAAGGTTGTTCTTAACATAACCTATGAGAGTGGACAGGTATATGTAAATGACTTCCCTGTAAATAGTGGTGTAACCCGAATAAGCTGTCAGACTTTGATAGGTAAGTACTGCTAAATTACTTCCGTAATTGTTCTGTTTTTAATAATGCTAAATTAGTGAAACGCAATTCTTTGATGTTACATATTTCCATTTCAAATTAATAGTACACATCATTACTAGAGTATATAATAACACTCGTGTGTGCTCTTTTCCTACTTTGTATTGGTTATTTCTGGCATATTCACATTTTCTCTGTCATGAGATTGGCATTGCTTGGAACTTCACATCTGGTAGGTTGATAGCAATGTAAGAATGTGCCTGGAGTTAGTAAATGGAGATTTACAAGCAAGAGACAAAATCTTCAGAGGAGTGCTTATTATCACAGTTGTAAAAAATAAAGAGAAAAGTGAATTGTCTTTCTGATTCTTCCACCTTTATGTCCATATAATGTTTTCCTTTTTAACCTTTTAAAATCTTGAGTTGTTTAAAGACAAGCAAATATGTTACATTGGAATGTGCCATTATTTGAATGAAATAAAGGATATGAAAAATTTGTATAGTATTCCTATTACCTGTTTTAATATATGCATTTGAGGCAGTAAATGTTTCTCTGAGCAGTTGTATCCTATACTTAATTCATTATATATCTTTATTATCATTCCATTCATGGTGTTTTCTAATTATTTACTGTGATATTTCCTTATCCTGTGGGTCATTTTGAAGTATATTGCTTAATTTTCAAACATTTTGGGATTTGTTTTTTTTTTTTTTTTTTTTTTTTTTTTTACTGATTCCACCTCTATCATCAGAGATATAATCTGTATAATTTTAACCCTTTGAAGTTAGAGACTTGCTGTATGGCTTAGCAGATGGTCAGTTTTAGTAAATGTTGCTTTCTGTGTGTACTTGAAAAAAAGTTAATTAGGTAATTAGTTGGATATGATGTTCTATATATGTCAGGTCAGATTTGTTAATCGTGTTCAATCCTTTATGGAATTACTGATTTTTTTGTTTATTTCTTTGCTTGCCCTATCAATTACTGAGAATGGTATGTTAAATCTCCACTATGTATATTTGTCTGTTCTTTCAGTTTTGTCAATGTTTGCTTTATATATTGTGACACAATATTACTAAATCCATACATATTTAGAGCTGTTATGTCTTCCTGGTGAATCCACTCATTTATCATTATAATATGTCCTTATTTATCTCTAGTGATGTTCTTGCCTTAAAATCAGCTTTATCTGTATTATTTTACCAATCACTGCTTTTTGGCCAGGCATGGGGGAGGGACGTGGATTGCTTTGTGGTATCTTTCCATCTTCTTGGAGTCTTCCTGGGTCCTTATAATTGAGGTGAATGTCTTACAAGCAGCATATACTTGTGGTTTCTTTCTTTCTTTCTTTCTTTTTTTTAATCCAGGCTGTCAGTCTGTCTTTAGTTAGAATCTTAATTTATTAACATTAATGTAATAACTGATATATTTGGATTTAGATTTTCTCTCTTAATTATTTGTTTCCTATTTGTGTCTCACCTGTTCTGTTTCTCTTTCTTCTCCTTTTTTGCTCCCTTCTGGGTTATTTACTTTTTATTTCATCGTTCCCCTCTATCTTGTTGGTTTTTATATTATTTTACTATTCTTTTAATGGTTACCCTTGAGATCAGTAAACTAGTACTTTTATCATTTCCCAACCAATGTAGGACCCTTAGAACATGTAAAGTCTATTGATTCCCTTTATGCTTTTTTAAATTTTATTTTTATTTTTTTGGCTGCGCTGCGTGGCTTGCAGGATCTTAGTTCCCCGACCAGGGATTGAACCCAGGCCACGGCAGTGAAAGCGCTGAATCGTAACCACTGGACCTCCAGGGAATTACCCCCTTTTTGCTTTGTGTTGCTATTGTCATGCATCTTAACTCTTTGGGTTCTTAAACACTAAGCAACATAATTATACTTAATGGTTTTCTGTAGTCCAGTATTAATTTATGTTCCCCCTCACAGTTACCCTTTCCATTGCTCTTCATTCCTTCCTGAATATCAGTGTTCCCTCTGGGGTTATTTTCCCTCTGCCTAAAGAATTCCCCTTAGTATTTTTTTAGTGCAGATTTGAGTGTCTATATTTTTACATGTTTTCTAGTGGTTCTCAGTGAGAGAGTTGGTGTACTACAAGCTAATCCATCATAGCTAGGAAAAGAAGTGCCATTACTGGCTTGAATAATATTCCACTGATGCTGTATTTATTAGGAATTTGACATGGAGTGCAGTCTGGCTGCTTTATTTGTTATAGTCATCTTTCTAGCATCCCAGTTGCACAGAGTTTATTTCCTTGAAAGCGGAAGTAAAAGCCTATCTTATCAGTTAAAACAATCTTTAAAACATTAAATGCAACTACAACAAAAAGTCTTCTATGCTTAATTCTTTAAAAAAAATTTCTTTGTAGATACGTTAGTTATACTGCTGTGTAACAATTTCACCCCCAAGTTAGTAGTCTTTGTCAGTATTTTTTTTTTTTTTTTTTTTTTTTTTTTTTTTTTTTTTTTTTTTTTTTTTTTTTTTTTTTTTTTTTAGCTCTTTAGCCTGACCACAGCAACACCAAACTCTCTTTAGGTCTAGCGACATCCTCAGCTGGTTAGGCCAACCTAATGGATGCCCACCACACAGAGTTCCAGATAAGGAGCACGAGCGAGAGCATCCTGCTCCCTCTGTGTTACTCTCACTGCTCTAAAGCTCCTTCCACTTCTGAGCTGAAGCTTGGAGAAGAGAAAAATAGGGATACACATCTTTCATGCCTCTTTCCTCCATCCTCGCAAATGCCCTGGATTGGAAAGCGGTGAAGTTTTCTCTAGACCATTGCTTCTCAAATTTTAATGTACATCAGAATTGCTCAGAGGGCTTGTTTAAAAAATAAATTTCTGAGCTCTATCCCTAGAGTTTCTTTTCAGTAGGTCTGAGGTGGGACCAGGGAGCTTGCATTTCTAACAAGTTCCCAAATGATGCTGATACTGCTGATCTGGGGACCACACTGTCAGAAACAGTAAGACATATTCTTGCCTTCCAAACATGCAGCTAAAACACATTGCAAACAAAGAGATATTTTTCTGCACACTGAAAGAACTCTATGATCTGAATTCTCTCACGAATAAAGGTGCATTCTCTACATAGCAGGAGAACTCTATAATATGAATCCTATAGGCTTAGCCCTTGATTTGTTAGATGTGACCTATATTAATTTAGGAAATCCATTATCATGCTAAAATGCCTGGTTTTCAAGCCTATTGCCTGACTGCATTCTATTTTTTTTTTTTTTAACATCTTTATTGGGGTATAATTGCTTTACAATGGTGTGTTAGTTTCTGCTTCATAACAGAGTGAATCAGTTATACATATACATATGTTCCCATATCTCTTCCCTCTTTGTCTCCCTCCCTCCCCCCCCCCCTATCCCACCCCTCCAGACAGCCACAAAGAACCGAGCCGGTTTCCCTGTGCCATGCGGCTGCTTCCCACAGGCTATCTACCTTACGTTTGTTAATATATATATGTCCATGTCTCTCTCTCGCCCTATCACACCTCACCCTTCCCCCTCCCCATATCCTCAAGTCTGTTCTCTGGTAGGTCTGTGTTTTTATTCCTGTTTTACCCCTAGGTTCTTCATAACATTTTTTTTT